CATAAATTGGATATATACCGTCATTTGTTTAACTACTAAATCTAAATTACAATTTAACTCAGTTTTAGGCTATTTGAAATTGTAACATGTAACAACAATAAAAAAAAAGTGTTTCCAAAATAATTCATTTTACCACTCCGTAGACTGTTATAGTGTGAGTGTATATTCTATTTGGAAATATCGAAATAATCAGAAACCTAAATCTACTCATCGAAACAAAACACTCCTGCACTTTTAAGTTAAATGATACCATGACAATATAAAGATAAATATAACAATTTTCAACTTTAAATTACACCTTGACAAAATAAAGACAAATTTAACGATTTTTATGTTAAATGACACCATGATAATATAATGATAAATTTAACGATCTGTAAGTCAGAATTGTCACCAAGGAGTTTAAAAGTTAAAAAAAAATTGGAGATTATTGAAAAAGAGAATTTTTTACGAGTTTTATTTAACTCAGGGCAAACTTTGTGTGTATATAAACACCAGTAGGTGTTCTCGTTTCTCTGTTACCAGTCGTTCAAGCAGTAACATGCCTTGGCTGACGTACCATGAAACCATAACTGACACAGTACTGGTTTCTGGTAAATTCTTTATAGTACCGACAAAGTTACAGAGTAAAATCTGTCATATAAAAGGGAAGTTTTAGTACGGCTGAACAACTTTAAAAACAATAACGTTTTATTGTAATGGGGTATGATAATATATTACAGTGCACGTAGTTCGTATAAAAAGGTGAAAAAGCTACTGCTTGTTCACCGTGCAATTTATCACTAGAATATTCCTTTTTACACAACCGTACTGTATAATATTTCTAATGAACCATTAATCATCGAAGTACTTCGATCAAGGTTATTAGGACTTCAACAATGTTTCAGCCTTATTACATCAATTTAATTGTTATACCTTTTATAGCACGTCTGACTGTACTTAGAAGTAGGTTTTTCTTCCTTCTTTTTTTGTAATATGGAAATATATTTTAACTGGTTTCCAAACCCACATTTATTCTGCTTAATTTTGACGAATCAAAGAGAAAAGGTACGAAAGGTAGAAACAGCTAGTTTCATCAACTAAATAGGAAAAAGAGATTAGCTCTACAGCCATATATCCTAACGACAAAGAAACCTGTCTGTGCTAGTTATTCACCAGCACTGTAAGATTTGTTTGTTTGTTTTTAATTATGCGCAAAGCTACACAAGGGCTATCTGTGCTCTGCCCACCACGGGTATCGAAACCCGGTTCCTAGCGTTGTACGTCCGCAGACATACCGCTGTGCCACTGGGGGCACACAGCAAGGCATGTACATTTCTAACTGTTATATTGTTTCCTTAATATATGTTTATTGTAAGTTCTGTTTGTGTAATTTTATTATTAATTTAAGTCTATTGTGTCATTATTTTTATTTGGTCAATAAAAGAAATAACAGATTCATAGCAACTATCAGTATCTAACATTTTTATGCAAAGGTGGATTCTTAGATGTCAAAATAAAATTTAGAAATGTCATAAAAAGAAGTAAATATAATTAGGCACATAGGCGAAAAAGATACTAAAATTAAAGGGTATATTACAAAATCGACAAGTTCATATGTTTATACGTTTTTTTTTAATAATCGATTGTGTAACTTAAAAGTGATCCAACGGACATTCACAAGAGAGAACAATTAGAAAGAAAATAAATATACAGTTTGGGAACTACAAACATTGGTTTAAATTAACATTTTTCTTTCCTGAAGAATTTAAATTTTTCAATAATTATTTTTTATCTTTTTTTTCATTATTTCTTTTACTTCTGTAAAAGATGTAAGTTTATAATCAACGTCCGAAATGCTACGTACGCAGTTTTCAAATTCTACATATGCATATTTGATCTAAGTTGCACGATCTGACGAAGAGTGTTAACTAGAAAGGACATCTTGTCAAAATAATGTATATACATGTCTAACTTTAATTTGTAACCTACTCTTCAACTTCACACCAAAATATCTGCAACGTGCACTAAAGAAGCTGCTCTCCAGGGGCAAACACTGCAAGTTGTTGTAATGTCATGAAATCAATTTGCTGCGATAAAGTAGTACAAATATAATTTTCATTTTTTTCTCAGTTTTTTATTATTACTTCATGATGTATTTTGAAGTTATTACTTGAAATACTTCACGATTTATGACTTATAATTTGGCATTAACTAAGCAGCTTTTCATTTCTCACGATACTACAGTGTGAGCCAAAAGTTCATTGCCCCAGTCATATTATGTAGGTTATCCAAGCGACAATAGTTTTATTGTTTCTGTTGCACCTTCCTAGCACAGAGAGTAGATTTCCATTCTCACTAAAATACATTTATTTAATACAACTGAATGTAACATGTAACATGTGCCTCATCCTATACAATAAGTCTTAAAATTTTATAACAATTACTGACGAAGTATACAATGAGTAGTTTCACAAGAATCTCTGAATTTATTAATACGAAACAACTAAATTGATTTAGTGAACACAGTTTTGTCACTAAAACAAACAAAGTATTAACACAACCAATGTGCTGCACTTCTTTCCTTGTGTGATTTAACTGTAAAAAAAGACATGTTTCCAAGTTTTATCTGTTACAAATTGATTATAACTATTTTATCGTTACACAACCACTTTAACTATCTCTATGTAGGTCGAAAACTTCCAGCTGTTTTTATTAACTACTTTTTATTTTCAGATATTTGAAAATAACTTACCATTGAGAAGAAGGTTTCAATGTACCGTAGAATTTCAAGGTTTAAGAAAATTCAAACCAGTCGACTAGCTTTTCGTTTCAAACGACCGTAGTTATTTTAATACGAAATAACCCTTGTGCGGTTTATAAGTTAGAGCAGTCACAGTCGATGTAGCGATATATCTCTACAACTTCACGCTGGTTGAATGTGACCAGATATACAGGAAAATAGAGAGGTCCAACCCAAGTACGTTGCACATGAAGAAAAATTAACAAGCAGCCAATCTTCTCTCGGCTTAAAGAGCAACGACAGACGGCCTTGCTAATATAACAAACGTTTTTCAAGGTTCAACTATGAGGAGAACAGGGACGAAGGTGTCAGAATTCGAAGTTAAGGTTGTTTGTTTTTTTCTCCACAGAGGTCATGACCAGAACTCTGCTCTGCCGATCTTATTACACAGTGCGGGGACTTCCTTGAATGTATCAAATATACTACTGCATCATAACATTGACTTCATAATTTACAGTTTAAACATCAAAAGTTGGTGAAGTATTCAAAACCAACGAGGCCTAACATCTGTGATAAAGGCCACTTAAAGTTCAAATGATTTTTTACCCATTTCTCTTAATTTACCCAGTTCGCATTTCTGAAATGTCATTTTTACATGCCTCTGAGCGTAAATGGTCAAACTAAGAAGAAAGGAGAAAAGAACATTTGCCGTTTACATGATTTTTATAAAAAATATTAGGCCTTTTGATAAAATTGACTTTGTTAACTAAATATGAATTATCTGTTTTAATATTCTTACTTCAGAGAAAGAAATGTATTTTTAGTTGTAGTTTTAATAAACTATATTCATTTCAACAGGACATCGTAATTTATTCAATGTAATAAATATTAAAATGATATTTCTTGCTTTAAGAAAATATGCAAATATTATATTTTGTGTTTAAACAATATTGTTGTGATAACCGTTATTATACTGCGTAATAAAGGTTATAAGCTTCATCAAATTATTCGTAGGTTAACATTTGTTTTGATACTTACTCAACAAGGAAAAGAAACTAGGTTTTCAAACATTTTAATTAGCTTTGTTTTTAGCGTGTGAATTTTTTTTTATATTATTAAATAAAATATATGCATTTTTTTTAAGTTTTAAACAAAAGATAAAACTATTTGTGAAATGCATATGTTGTAATGTCTGAAGGACTGCCAAACTAAAGCCCTGTGAACTGTAACTAATAACATTAGAATGTATAGTCGTCGCTAGCTGCTTAAAAGATTCGGGGCTCGAGCCCATAGGCACGGGAATTTTTGGCCTTTCTGTTTGATATCAATCGTGGTTTTCTATTATGAATTTTCAAAACACCAACTGGGGATTCGGAGCACTGTCAAACAAATTGGGGCACGGCCCCATATGCCAGCCCCTAGCGACGCCTCTGAGGTTGAGTATGTTATATTAAATGATTTTGGAGCCTCGCCATGTCGCTAGATTAGCCCATAGCTTTATTTGACGACCGTAGTTTTCATTGTAAAAGGATCAATCGTAAGGCTGCTATGTCCAAAGTACACCTCTACTTTCTGCAGTTTTCCATAAGTCATTTAGTTTACGAAGACGAAGAAGTCCCAGTGCCCATTGCTACAGTCCGATCACATAGAAATTCATTAGTTGTGGGCCCTGGTAACTTGACCAGTATATCTTCGCATAGAATAGCATGAACACCAATTTCATTTTCCAGCTACTTCAGCTATCTGATAGTTGAACGGATATATCGTGGAAGTAATTTGTGTATGCAGTATTCGTAACCCTATATTAATTAGACAGAGAGATTGAAGGAAATATTCAATACTGTGATAAACTGAGGAGCAGTCATTTGACACTGCGAAAATGCAGTTCAAAATTTGATATAATAAAAAAGTTTAAAATCGTGGTCTTCTTACTTATATACTTATCTTCGCTTTGGCTAAGTTATGACTTTTAGTACACACGTATATTCACACAAATATACATGATTCTTTTTAAAACTCAAATAGTAGACACAGCATAATTTCTAAACTTTATTTATTGAAACATAAACACTAAAAAGTGAAAATGTGAAGACAGCAATCATATAGTTCAAAGGTAACTAGTGTTGAGTATTTAAACTGAAACCGAAACCAATATATATTTAAAGAGTAAGGGGGAGGTCATTTTGTTTATTGATTTTACCACATAAGACTTTATATTAAATATCACAGGCAGTTATAAAACTACGGATTTCCTCTATTTTCTGAATCACGTTTACCCAAAATATTATATATATATATATCTGTGTGTGTGTCACGATATTCAAGAACCCCGAAAACACTTTCCGAAGATACATCTTACTTCTTCTAGAGAGTCACGATATTCAAGAACCCCGAAAACACTTTCCGAAGATACATCTTACTTATTCTAGAGAAAATCGATGCCTTTGATTTAAAGGAAAGTCCGGGAATCAAATTTCTTCAATTAGTTTTATCTAAGTTTTGACCATAGATTTGACCTTATGTGTATATAGTTCTCACTTTTTTCTGTAATGACGCTATTATTCTAATTGTTTGTAGTGAGGGTTGATTCTTCGCCGAGTGTGGTCTTGTGGTTAGTGTACCCAAACTATGAATCCCGTGTTTCATGATTCTCGTTATATTTTACACTCTAGGGCCATGGGTGCGCTATATATATGATGGTTAAATACCAATATTCACTCAGATAGGAGTAACCGAAGAATATGACAATGGGCGAAGTTAACCAACTGTTTTTTTTTCTTGTCTATTAGTTTATAAATAAAGACGTAGATAGACATTTGTGTAGCTTTGCTCGAATATTCAAAAATAAAAAAACATCGTTTGAAAACAGCTTTTCTGGTATTTTTAAGATAGAGAAAACGTCGACAATGTATGCAACAACCACGAACTGAAGTAACGTCAAGAAGAACAAATTCAGTGAAGAGGTATATAAACAAAAATATATAAACCTAAATATTTATTAATGATCTTGTAGCTTTTGTTCGAAAGAAAGGTGTACTGGATTTAAAGATCTGTTATAGATAATGGCTGATCTGCTTATTTTATTAAGTTGCTAGCCTTGCTAAGCTGATCTCGCGCTTTATCTGACTCCTGACCAGGCCAAGGACTACTGGCTAGCGCCATTTGCTCCTTTTTTGTAAGGATTTTGGTTGAGTAAATCAACGAACTGATTACTTTTTTTTCAATGGTGAATTCGATGAGGTCTTCAGGTCAGACCTATAGTTTGTTAATCTCGAAGTTTTCTTTGTTGAAGAATCCTTTACTTCCGTTAGGAGGATATTTGTCATCCGTAAAACTTTTGGAATAAATGAGGCCAAGGCAGTACTTCATAGATCATTAGCATAACACGTTACTGCTTAATAATTCTGGCTTGTCTTTCCACCTGGTGAAGTATGGAGGCATGACGTTTGCCTTTTCCTCCTTCGCTCTCCTCCATTAGTTAAAATATATAATATATAAGCACCAACTTCTCCGTTTCTATAAGAAACTCAGAAATATCTAATAAAATCTTTGCTCGGATTATAAAACTATGCAATAAGCTTTTCTTTATGTGAGAATGAGAAGCTGTTAACCAAAATTAACCGGTAAATTAAACATAATTCTGATTGGAAGGTTTTGTTCTTCATGTTTCCTAACATTTAAAAAACCGTTGTCAGTAGCACACCGGAAACCACCAACGATAATCAAGATGGGTGTAACCCTAAACTTTTATCAATACATTTGGAATTATGAGCGGAACCTACACTGTGGACGAGATTAAAGTCAATGTTTTGTTTGTTTAATTCTCTAATATACAAAACTTGCAAATTCTCACTTAATAAAAATACGCCTAATATTCGATAGAGAATTTGAAAACCGACTCTGTTAGACTTTCTTTGATTAGCCCCCCAGTGGCACAGTGGTATGTCTTCGGACTTACAACACTAGAAACCGGGTTTCG